GGAAGAAGATAAGCCTCTTCTCATGTCAAGAGTGTAGAACCCAAACTGGGAACTTCTCCCCAAAACCTTCCTTTTCAGTGACTCTGGAGCTCCAACCTCAGGGTGGCTCTTGCAGGCGAATTGTCAGCTGGCGAGACCTACGGAAGCCCTCTGACTGGGCAGCTCGTCTCACCTGATGGCTCATCGTGGGCACTGGGCAAGACAAAGGCTCTTGCTCCTCTCCTTCCTGGAAGTTCTCCCTCTCTTCCAAAACACCTCTGCTCTCCTGGTTGTCCTGGAAACCTGGAGGATGCTTCCAAGGCCTCTGCTTCTCTGTGTTTCCACCACTTCCACCGCCACGTTTTCAGGATGTTCTTCAGGATACACAGCATGAGGTCTCCAGGCTGCTCGACAAGAGTGGTGGTCCTTCACTCCAGAGAGGAGCTCTCCTGCACGTGGCTGCTCCTCCTCTTCCTCACCATGGCTTAGAGAAGGCACCTCCTCCTCCTCACCACCACCACCACCACCGTGGAGCGGCGGACAGCAAGGGGCAGGAGGAGACAGGTGCAGTGGTGACGTGCACAAGCCACTCCGGAGACGCTTTTCAGGGATGCTGCTCAGACATGGCCTTGGCCAGGGACCCAGCAATGGCCAGTCCAGAGCAACACAGAGCCCATCCCGCTCCAGTCACAGGAACGTTGGCTGCCCTGCATCTTCACTTTGTCGGCTCATCGCTCAGTCTCTGGGCTGCCCTGAAGCTCTTCCCGCCTCAGTACCGTCTGCACCTGTTCCAAGTCCTGATTCCCCCATTTTAAGAACGCAAGCGCCTCGCCGCCTGAGCGGGCCAGAGGATCTCACTCCTTAAGTGGGAGCATTCAGGGAGGAACGAGACAAAGGAAATCAGAGCATTTGAACCTGAAGGGGCTCTCGATGGGCTGCTAACATGCGGCAGCTGGTCCCCAGGAAATGGAGGGTGTGGGGTCCCGCAGCTCTTTGCGCTGACTTAACATCTGAAGTCGTCATCCTTTTATGCAGCCTGAAGCATGAATGAGTTGGTATAAAATACTTGTAGCACACAAGTTCCTTTTTCTTCTTCCGCTCCTCTTTTCCCCTTTTCTTTTCTTCTCCTTCTTGTGGCAAATGAAACCCCCTTTTTATGCTCCAGGGGAGGGGGGATGCACAACCACCTGAACAGAGCTAAGCGTGGAGAGATGAAAACCCCCTTCAACATAATTAGATGATTAAGTAGCTTTTAAGCCCAGGACCTAACAGATTTGTTATCTGGAGTTGCTCTTTTTTACATTCCAAGCTTTTATGCTTTTCTTATTGCCTCCCCCCCGCTCCGCCCGCAACACCACCCAGCTTCATTCCTCCCTACACAAAGCCGAAAACCCTTTCAAGGCCCTGAAAAGGATACAGTGCATCCCACAGTGCAAAAGAAACACACGTGCTCTGAACGAGGCATAGCCCTCTTTCCCAGCAATTCAAGCCAGCAACACGGGAGCAGAGGGGGGGACCTTTGGCAGTCGCTGCCGGTCTGAAGCCTCCATTCAGTGGCAGGTCACTTGTTCTCCCCAAGCAATCATTCCTTGGTCCAGCCCTGGGAGCCCCAGGGAGGGCGAGGAAGGAACCCTGCCTGAATCCCTGAGAACCGCGGCTGCCTGTCCGTGCCAGCAGTACCGGACTAGATGGGGAACGGGGCTTTCTCCAAAGGCAGTGGGTGATGTGCGTGGGTGTTGTTGGGCCCCAGTGAGGCACCCCTAGTCCCTGTGTGAGCGAAGACAGCGGCTTCTCCATAGCGAAAACATGCCTCGTCCCGTAAAAGGGCCGGAGGAGGGGATGCCCAGCCTTCACCAAGGAACCCTGGGGCAACAGGTCTTTGGCAAGGAGATTCTTGCAGGCTGAATCCTCAGTTCCTAGGCCACTGCTGCGCCTCTCTCCCCTCCCCAAAAGCAACCTTTCCTCTGGAATCTTCTGTCTGCTTTGCCCTGGTATATATGAGGCCGTCTCTCGTTTCGTCCCTCGCATGCACGATGGATTCTGAACCCGCCCAGCTCACACCTGGAGGGTTACAAAACCTCCTCATATAAGAGCCCAGCAATATGTGGTGTCTTTGTTTCTTCGCATGATTCCAGCTTTAACAAACTGACTATTATTTATAGAAGAAAAGGAGCTTCTTGTAACGTTTCCTTTTCATTCTCTGCTGGAGTAGATGGCTACTTACACATCAGAGACAGAGGGTGCCTGTCGACAAAAGAAAGGCCAAGAGAGGACAGCAACCTGCATGCAGCTAGAGCGTGCCGAGTGATTTGCCTCAATGCAAAGCAGAAATAGTGGTTATCGTTCAGCGGGAACGCAGGATGCGTCTTCGCATCCTGTGACCCGGCATGCCAGCCGCTCAGCCTGCCGCTCAGGTGTGGGGTGGACAACAATCCGTATGTTTCTTTATCCTGCAACCCGGACTGGGCAGCCCTTCAAACAGATGACCTGTACAAAGAGAGGATCGTCCCCTGTAAGAGAGGACGCGTGCCCACCCCTGTTATCCTAAAATACCAGAACCAGGCTGTCCTTCTTTCTGATCTGCAGGTAAGTAACTGGTGGTGAGTTAATCTCATCTCAGTTTTGTCTCTGGTTGATTGATCTTCTAACTGGTCAGGTTCAGACAACCCAACAAGCCATGGTGGGCTTTTTTTTTTAAACCATTGTTGGTTGGCTGTGTTGTCTGAAGCCATTCATAGTATTTCAACATGGTAAGCTTGATCTTTAGAAACCATGGCAAAAAACCGATGGTTTGTTCTACAGTTTCTGCCTGCCACCATGGTTTGTCAGGTCTGAATGTTGGGTTATGAGATCCACAGCCTGGGTGTGCAGCAACCACAGAGTCCCCTGGAAAGAGTGGCTACTCCAGGATCCATTCCAGCCATCCTGTCTCTGTGTGTGGACTAATGAGGAGGAAGCAGGTGACACAGACAATAAGTTAGATGCATGGTGGGATTTGATTTCAGACATGGTGGCTGATGGGATTTGTGCAAACAGCGGAAGGTTGGATTGGGAAGGACAGAAACCACGAGAACATAGAAACCACTTGACTGTCTGTCAGACTGTGAAAAAAACCATGACCTGTGGTAACCACTTGAGGTCTGTCAGGAACCCATTTGCATGGGCGAAGCCATTGGATCCCCTGCACTCATCTCTCTGGACTCTGATCTGCCTTTTAGCAGCCCCAAACTGGAGCTCTGGGTGAGTATTAGCAGGGATCCTGCCAGGAATCCAGACCCACCTCTGCAGAAACGGTGCCCCCTCCTGTGCCACCTGCAGCTACTGTGCCTGATGTGGAATTGGGCTGCCGGTTGTGCAACAGAGGGTCCATGGACTTCCCTGCGGCTCTCCTCACTCTGGAACACCAGGATGAGACCAAGGGGAAGTCCACAAATGCTTGGAGGAACAGCTCTGCCCAACCTCAGTAACCACACAGGATTGGTTGTCGAGCTGCATGGACCCACCCACTGAATTGAGTGGACAGTGCCAGAGTCTAGAGGTTCCAGACCAATGTACTGAGGAGTTGTTGGCCATGGGGTGAGGGCAGCCCCCTTCCATTTTGCGGTAGCCCCTCAGCGACCATTTTTAGAAAGCTGTGGAGGTATCACCACTTGGCCAGAAGAACTGGGTGAATCTTCAGGTGAGCGTGGCAGGTGGCGTCAAGCTCTCTCCTACCCTTTCACCCACCATCCAAGCACTGCTCTTGAAAGAGCAACCGCTAAGAGGAATTCAGACCTTCTCTCATGCTTACTGAAGCACCGCAAATCCAACATCATGCAAAAGTTGCATGGTTTTAATCCTGCACCACTCCAGCATCAATTCCTCCTTTTCATAGCAAACTTTGCACTCCTTGGTAACATTACATAACCCACCTAACATGGCTCTTCCTTTATAGCTTTGAGAAGCATCCTCTTTTGCTGACTCAAATAATAATCACAGTTCCTCCAACAAAGCAAGTGGCCAAGTAATTTTTTTTAAACCAGCTGGGTCCATTTTCAAGACCTGCCGTAACGGGAAATTATACGTCAAGGTGAAGTATTCCCATCACAAATCATCCCGCCGTATCGTCAGCCCTGTTTTGATTGAGTTCAATGCTGGAAGCATAAATATTCTCACTTTATTGCCAAGCAGAGGATTTTTAACAAGACAAAACGTGGCTTTCCAAAGTCTGGGCTATTTGTGGGCTCTGGCAATTTGGATTTTAATCAAAGTAATGAGTGATATGAACTAATCAGAGTAGAACAAGACACTTCGGCTTTGGCTTCCTGATAACATTCTTGCAAAACTACAGCTGAAACAAGGTCTGTATATTATCAACATCTGATTAATCTTTTTATCATTTTTCCCCCAATTTGAAGGTCAGTGACAAAATCTTCCTTCAAAATTAGTAATTTCAGATTTTGTAATACGATTGCTGAAATTGTGTTGAGCAGTCAAATTAAAGAGGGCAGTATCTGGTTTTGGCAGCTGAGATATACACAATATGGAGAGACTGTTCTTGCATGCATAATTTTAGTTGGAGAATATCCGTCAAGGAAACTCCTGCCATGGAATGGACGGGAGGGATCGTTGAGCCGCACCCCATGCTGAAAGGGTGTCTCTCTCTTTCTCTCTGACTCCCTCTCTTGCACATTATCCTCAGAAAGGCCAAACGCTTTGTTTTTGATAGGAATGTAGGAGAATTTTATTTCTGCTTGCAAAATATGTGAGCATTGCTTCTTCAGGACTTTGAACACAATCACAAGCAACAGAGTGCATTATCTGCAGATGTCCACAATTTCTCAAGCACCCACTCACTTACAAAAGCAAACAAACAGTAATCCAGTGGCGCTTTTTTTTTAAATGTACCATTTCATGCTTTTGTCTAATCCTGTTTGGGGATTATAGAGAAGGCATCCATGGGAAGGGATGTCCTGAGCAACTCTTGGAAGGGTGCCCTGGAAAGCACGCATCGAAACACCTGTGCCTCTTGGCCTTCCTACCTCAGGCAGTTTGACCTGTCCATCCAGAAAGTGGCAATCAAGAGGCTCGTGGGTGCAAAGGTGGCGATATTTGCACCAGTGGCACCGGTACGGGCTTTCCACACAAGACAAGCACCTGGATGGAAAAGAGAAGAGAGGGAAACTGAGGCACTACAGACACTCTTGGCAAACCCCCCACCCCGAAGCAGGGAGAAAACCCCAACGTATTATTTCTAAGGGGAAACAAAAGGAAATAACTTGCAAGAAGCAAATGCTGGAATGTGTATTAGTGTATGCCTGTATTTATTTATTTCATTCCACTTCTATGCCGCCCCATAACCTGAGGTTTCTCTGGACAGCTTGCAAATTCTGAAAACAGCATATAAATGCAATCGATAAAACAGATAAAAACAGTCAAATTCATAGGTTAGAACCATCTCACATAATAAAATTATAAAACTATTCACGCCATGACAAAATACAACCAATAAATTAACACCCCAAAATTAAATAAATAACCATCAATAAAACATGAAAGATAAATTAAATAAATTAAATTAACCAAAAGCTTGTTTGAACAAAAAAGCTTTTACCTGTCATCTAAAGGAAAGCAGAGTAATAATTATATTATTACTATTGCAATTTTTATTACTACTTATTTATTTCATGTCTCTCCCACCCCATAGCCAAAGCACTCTGAGTGGTTGATAGCAATCCATAAAACAAGATGAAAGAAAGAAAGAAAGAAAGAAAGAAAGAAAGAAAGAAAGAAAGAACATTAATAAGTTGTAAAACAGCTAAAAACGTGTGGTGAAGAATGACCCTGTAAAGGAAAAGCTCTTGGGATGGGTCATCTCTCAAGCCCCTGGATAACCCAGTCGCTCTTTAAAGGCTTCTGCATAAAGGGCTTTCTTAACCTTGCACCGAAAAGATGCCAAACTTGCTGCCAGGTGGGCTGCAACGGGGAGGTTGTTCCAAGCGGGGCGTGGGGTGGGGGGAGTCACTATCTCTGGAGTCTGGTTGTTCCCTGTGACCTCAGAAACCTTCCATACACTTAATCAGGGTGATTTCTTCATTCACCTCGAGGGCTAAATTTCCCTTGGGAGATTCCAGCGCAGAGGTGGGTCTGAAGGCAAAGGGGACAGAAACATAGAAACTGAGCGAGTCAGGAGGGGCCTCCTGGGACATCTAGTCTGACCCCCGGCTCCACTCATGACATGCCTACCATGTGCGTGTCCAGCTTCCTCTTGGACGTGAACGCCCTCACCGATGCAAACCCTGTCTATACCCTGGGGGTCTTAACCATCAGGAACTATTTCCTGGCATCCAGCCTAAATCTTGGTTCCCTGAGCTTGGCTCCCTCGGAGCATGTCCTGTCCTCCACTGCAGGAGAAAAAAGGTCACAACCCACCTCTGCGTGGCAGCCCCTTGCGTACCTGCATGTCGCTAACAGGTCCCCTCGGAGTCTCCTCTTCCCCAGGCTGAAGAGACCCAGTTCCCTCAGTCTCGCCTCACACGGCATCCCCTGCAAACCGGCCACCAACCTTGTGGCCCTACGCTGCACTGACTCCAACCTGGCTATATCCCTCTTGTAATGAGGGGCCCAGAATTGAATATTCCAGCTGCAGGCGCACCAGAGTCATACAGAGTGGCAGTAACGCCTCTCTCGATCTAGAAGCCACACTTCTGGCTAGAGGGTGGCGTTCGCCCTCTTGGCCACCGCATCACAGGCCAAAATGCAAGAAATGCCAGCATAGTTTAGTTTAAAGCTTTTATTCTCAGTAAGAAATCTAATCTACCATTTAAAATGCATGAAAATAGAATGCATGAAAAATGGTAAAAAGTATTTCAATGTATTTTATTGTGTTGTAAGCCGCCCCGAGGCTTCGGCAAGGGGCGGCATAGAAATGTTAATAATAATAATAATAATAATAATAATAATAATAATAATAATAATAATAAAGAAATGATTGTTGGTTGGGGGAGAATGGCTAGGGCCCCTTATAGCTCTCAGGGGGCTTCATCAGGCCTCCCAGTGAGGTGGGGTTGATTAACAGCCCTGGGTTTCTGCCATCCTGGCACTGACGATCAAAGCAATTTCAGCTAAAAATGGAATTAGAAGTGCTAAGGTCCTAGTCCTCATGGAATGCTTAGAAACATGTGGGCTCTGAAACCAGAGAGTAAATTCCCAGGTTCAAGGCCTCTCTCCCTATCATTGCTGACTGCCTTGCTTATAAACACCTGCTGCAACTCATTTGCCAGCCTCTACACATCAGGAAAAAAATCCTCCATTAACACCAGAGCTGTACAATCCTCTGAATAATATTAAGAAAAAGATTTGGGAACTCTCTGGGCTATTTCTATTTGCTATGCCTGATGCAAATTCAGGCACAACTCAACCGCATTCCCGCTCAGGAAATCTCTCTATTTCAATCCCCTTTAGATGCTGCTGTTCTTTAAATTGATAACAAGCTCTCACTCTGATAAATCAAATTAAAAATGGATAGGGTATTATATTTTGTCAAGTCGGAAAGCAAAACACACCATACATATTTAAACACCAGCTTCTCTGGGCTACCGAAACCATGCAGGGGCGTCTTTTCCCTGCATCGACCCGTAGTGGCTGCTCGGCAAGGTAGTGGAAATGCAGCTCTGGCACTTGGCGCAACTTGGAGCTTGACAGAATGAAGCCCATGCCTCTTCTTGATGCATCTCGGACTGTGCTGCGCATGGCAGGGACATGTGCCTGGAATTGGGGCGGCAACAGTGCGGCAACGAAGCACACAAGAAGCAGGTGCCGGGGCAGGGCAACCCCTGGTTCTCCAGGCGCCATGACCTACGACTCCCATGATTCCTCGCCATTGGCCAGGCTGGCTATTGTTGCTGGGAGTCATCAGCCGAAAATCTGGAGGGCGGCAAGTTGCCTCCCACTGCCTGAGCAAGCCACGAATGCTCACAGCACGTGTCTGCCGTGGGTCTGCCCTATTTGTGCACAGGAGCATGGGGCACGGCCTGCTCCTCAGTCAAGCCATTGATACAGAGCCCAGTCCCAGCCCTGCCTGGAGATGCCGGGGGTCGCAACTGGGACAGACTTGGACCGCCTACAGGGACAGCATCCCCTCTGCCCTCAAGCTGCAGTCTCTCGCATGCACCTTCTGCTTCTGATTATGCAGCCTCTGCTTGCAATAGATGCCACATCAATTTCCTAACCAGAGTAAAGATATGTTATGCTTAGGGATGCCTATATTTTATGCTTGGGATTTATACTTACATATGAATACAGAAGAGATCAAATCAGTCAGTCCTAGAGGAGATCAACCCTGACTGCTCTTTAGAAGGTCAGGTACTAAAGCTGAAGCTCCAAGACTCTGGCCACCTAACCAGAAGGAAGGACTCCCTGGAGAAGAGCCTGATGCTGGGAAGGACTGAAGGCAAAAGGAGAAGGGGACGGCAGAGGATGAGGTGGCTGGATGGGGTCACTGGGGCGGTGGGTGTGGGCTTGGGTGGACTCCGGGGGATGGTGGAGGACAGCAGAACCTGGAGGAATGTTGTTCATGGGGGTTGCAAAGAGCCAGGCATGACTTTACAACTGAGCAACAAATGAATACAGAAGTTCCCTGGCTTTGACCTTTTTAAAGAAGGGACAAAGTTCACTGGTTTGTCCCAGCGCTACCTGTCCATCCTAACCCTGCCTTTGTAGAAGGTTCCAGGTTCAACCTGCAGCAGCTCAGCTTATACAATAGGACCTTCATAACCAGGACATATGGGTCAGGCCTTGGAAGCCACCTGCCGACACTGCTGGGCTTCCTGGAACCACCTGTTCTGGTCATTGGGGACAGGTTCGGTGGGGTTTGCAGCACAAGAGAGAGCAGCCCTCAGAACGGTAGAGCCAAATGCACTCGGACAAAGGAGGACAACCTGGTGGTCTCCAGACTTTTTCCATCCTTCTCACAAGCTCCAGTGAGCAGGGCCAATACAGAGAACCTGTAGCCCAAGGCATCCGCAGGGCACCAGGCTGCCTGTTATTTTAGCAGAGGGGTGAGACTTACGAGTTGTGGACACTGCAGTTGTAGAAGACAAAATTGGTGCTGGCAAAGGTCATGCCTGTTTCCTTGGATTTGAGCTGCAGTTGGACGATGTGGTGATCTCCTGGAAGGAAGAGAAAACGATGGTCGTTTCATCAGTCACTGGGCTGGGGCATTTGAGCAATCGAATCAATCAGAATCGATCAATGGGGCATTCGATCAATTCGATCAATCAGAATCGATCAATGGAACTGGCTGGGAGGCCTAGAGCTTCTGAAAAAGGGCACCCAAGCGCTATGAAAGAAGACGAATATTCATTGCATATTCATAAGAAGATTTCTTTGTGTGTCTGGCATAGATGCCATCAGCATCTGCACTTAAGTTATGGTCTCCCCACCATAGCAGCCATTTGGGGGGCAGTTCCCAATTGCCCCATGAGCCCCCAGCCCCCAAGTCTGCCCATCCTTGTTCTAATGGATCTCCACAGCTCATTTCCCCTTTCCAACCTCTCCTGCTAGTTTTACAGGGAAACTTGTTTGGCTCGCATTTTAGCATGAACGGACCCAGTCCATGCGTCCTCAACTAACATGCAATCAGTGTTTTCTCCTTCAAGTGTCACACTTCTCTGAAACTGGTGGTGCAGCTCCGTGGTCAAAATAATTCAAAGAGAAAGGTGCACATTAGGAAAACCCGGGTTCATAAATGCACGTGCGGGAGGAAAACGCACACCAAAATGTGCATGTGAGGGCGAGGGGGCTCAGAAATAAGCATGGATTAGGGAAATAACTTGCAAAAATGTATAAATTTGCGGGGAAACACACGCACATTTCCATGCCCAGGCATACGTAAGGCATACGAAAAATATGAATTTTCATGTGAACCTGTTTAAAAATGCATATTCACAAACTGATGCAGAAAGAGGATGAAAGGAACTTGGGTCTGAAGAACGCGAGTGCAGTAGAAGGGGAGATGGATTTGCCCGAGCTCCGCAAAAGCCCTGTTGGCTTACAGCCCCTCCCCGTCTTTATCCCAGCCACTCCACTCCAGCAGGGATGGGCCACGGACTCATTCCCTCCCTCCTGCCCCACAGATGGGGCTGCTTCAAGGAAGGCGTAATTGCACGCCTTTCCTAATGGAAGGTGCCCATGTTTAATGCAAAACTTTGACCCGCCTGCCCTGCTCCCCCTCTATTATATTCTTCCTCACCTGAGAGCGCCATTAATCAATCATGCCAAAGAGACTTTGACAGCAACTCATCGCGACATGTTCACATACACGCGCACACATTCCTGCATACATTTCGTTGCTTGTGCGCACTGCGGCTGTCCGTCCACCTCTGATGGCTTTATCAACTCACCGAGATCCTTCGTATTTCATAGAGGTGGCTATCGGTGTGCTGACCCTGGGAAGCTCAGCTGCCCACTTCTGATTTGACAATCGGAAGCGGTCTGAGTTGGGTTTTCCCCTCTGGGCTTCCACTTCTAAGACGGACCACAGTTCATGCATCGTTTTTAGAACAATAAGGGCATTTGCACAGATTCTGAGATTTGCACAAATCTTGTGTTTTGTACAGTTGGCACAAACTGGACACCCAGAAATCATGGGGTTGTTGCAGAAATTCCATGATGATCACATGCATTTGTGTACCGGTTCGCTCTAATCAATTTTACACCAATTTTCTTAGCGAAGGAAGGAAGGGAGGGAGAGAGGGACAAACCGTAACCTGTCTTAGAGATGGAAGCCCATTAGCTGGTTTGAGTCACACTGAATGTGTCCTCAGCTAAATTCAGGATATTGGAAAGGACCTGCCACGGAGTTTGTGGGCAACCGGATTTCCCGTAGCTTCTACCTGGTTCCACAGCCTCCTCAGCCTTTCAGGCTCTACTCAAAGTTCACCTCATGTGAATAGGTCTCAGCACCATCTTTGGGGTGTGCTCAGTCAGGATGCACAAATCAGCAAGAACTCAGCTTATCGACATTTTCAAGATTTGGGCATTTTTCATGTGTATACATTTCCCCAAAACATGCACTGTATATGCATTCGTTTGGAAAGCACACATTTTCTCCCCTCGATTACAGCCTTGTTATGCCTGTTTGTCAAAAGGATGCCTTTTTGTACATTTTTGTTGCTCTTTTTCTGTGACTCACAAGCTCAGATGTGCATGGACTTAAACCACATATCATTTTCTCTGAGATGCTACCTGGGTAAATGCTCATAACGTACGTTCATTTTGCCATCTTCAAACATTAAGATATTTTTATGGTGGCTAACTTTGCATGGCTATAGCTAAGTCTCTAAAGGTCTTCTTCTTGTTGTCATTTTGTTTTAGTATTTCTTCTGTTGTACTTATTTTAACTGGGTTTTGCCTATTGCTTCTACCTGATGATAGGCTGGATGGAGAACACCATCATGCTAAGGAAAGTTGAAGGCAGAAGAAGAGAAATTCCAACTAGAAGATGGATTGATTCCATCACGGAAGGCAGAAGAAGAGAAATTCCAACTAGAAGATGGATTGATTCCATCACGGAAGCCACAGTCCTGAGGTTACAAGAGATGAGAGGTCTCTCATGGATAGAACATTTGGAGAGCTTTCACTCACAGGGACACCATAAGTCAGAGATGACTTGATGGCACAGACCATGTCAACAGGCTGTTAAGCCATGCAGAAATGTCCAAGTAGGACCACCGTTTTGTCATCCTCCAGCAATGGCACTTTTAAGCACCTTATAAATCCATTGCATCAGATCAAAAGTATTTTGGCTGAGGATGTATGAGGAACCTGGGAAGGATGAAAAACAGATGGCTTCTCTTGGCCTGGCCTGCGGGTTCTATTCTGTCAACTCTGCACTGGCATTGACTTAATCAGATGTGAGTTGGGACAGAATACTGACGGGCCAAACCCTTGTATTTTTAAAATCAAAAAACTGGGGAAGTGTGTGCAAATTTCAGAGTGGAGGCATGTGTTTGAAATGCAAAATGTGAGCGAATTTAAAGTGGCTATTTATTTCTCAACGTACTGTAGAAGATTGCTGCATCTCACTAATCCTATTGAGGTAGACCTTGATAATGGCACATGTCTTCTATTAGAAGTATCGCATGCAAATTTGCTTATGTGTGATTAAAAGCTGCACCGACCCATTTATGTGAATCTCACAGTCTGAGCCCACTTTGTGCAAGTGGCTGTAGAGAGATGCAGTTCTTGATCCCAATTTAAGAAAATATTTTGAGCATTTTTGAGGAAGCTGCACCCCACTACCCCTGCTTTTGGCTGTTAGGTCAGAAAAGTGCCACAAGTCCATCAAACAGAAATGGAATGACTTTTCCAGTGTTGCACATCCCTTATTCTGGGTAAGTGTCAGCATCTGGGCAACTCTGGGGCTCCATCTGCTTGGCAAGCACCAGAATAATGACCCTGGTAGTTGCAGGACTAGTCTCAGACCCGGCTGCAGCTGCCAGGCCCTTGATGAGCACCACCTGGGGAAAGAGCTATATAAAAACAGAAGCTGCCTGAGCAGCATGTGTTGGAGTTTCTTCCTGCACTTCCATCTTGTTGGACCTTCACCTACTCCCCACCCCGCCCCTCCCTGTTTCACCTTGTCCTGCTTTGCATTGCCCTGCCTTGCTGCCCTGCCCTGCCTTGCTGTCTTGCCCTGCCCTTCCTTGCTTCTCCTTTTCCTACTTTCCCTTGCCCTGCCTTGCTGCCCTGCCCTGCCTTGCTGCCTTGCCCTGCCCTTCCCTGCTTCTCCTTTTCCTGTTTGCCTTGCCTTGTTGCTCCTGAACCCCAGCTAGCTATCCTACCCTAAGGTACCTGCTCCTTTCTCTGCTGCTACTTGGCTCTTGACCTCTGGCTTGCTTCTGACCACACCTTTGCCTTCCTCCATGTCCTCCAATGTACTCCTGCTTCCTGACCTTGGCCTGCTCTGTGACTACAACCGGGACTCATTATTCCACTTGACTCTTTGACTTCTGACAGTGCTTCGATTCTGTCCAGCCTGGGTCCTGCCGCCTGGGTCCTCACGAATCTGCCCTGCCCACCCGCTGACCCCTGATTCCGGGGCAGCCATCTGGCTTCAGCAGAACTTGGACTCACCATTCTCGGTGATGATCTTCGGCACCTCCTTGGCAGCCGGAGACTGGCAAGTAATTTGGTTTCCCATCACCACGCCGTCCATTTCCGACAAGTCCCCGAAGGTGCAGTTGACGCCGTCTGACAACTCAGGGACATTGTACGTCTTCAGGACCAGCTGCAGGGACACGGGAAAGAGCAGAAGTGGAGAGGCATGATGACAGAGGCAGGCCAAGCGAGGGAGAGTGACACTGGAGGCACCGGAGGGAATGCCTCTTGCTTCACAGCCACCTCCTTCTACAGAAAGCAGCAATCGGGGCGGAGGGGAGAGAATGCGATGTAGACCCGAGGAGGGGCATGGCAGTGCAAGGGCTCCTGAGGCTGCGCCGTGCTGGGGAGGGTTCCCCCAGAGTGGGGGCCGTGGGGGGGTGCTCGGCATCACTCATGCAACGTGGCAGTCTCTGGAATACGCCGTGAAGACTCGAGGCTCGCCGGCACAAGCACGTTTCTGGGGGAGGTGACTCGTTACTCACAAGAGAAACTAAGACTCCAGTCTAAATCTCTACGCCTCCTCTCCTAGCATCTCCTGCTCTCTGGCACCACCAAGGTCCTGTGTATGAAGGAGTCCAGTTATGGAGCTGTGGGTCAGCCACATGGAAAGCGCGAGAGAACTTCAAAGGAAAGGAAAAGCATGAGTGGTTCAAGCCACAGGGCTCACGCCAGGTGTTCCACTCCACACCGAGCGCCTGTTGGCACAAATGGGTCGTGTACATTGGGGTGGGCAGGAAGTCTACCTGGCCTTTGAGATCTATGCAGGGGGCCCTCCTGCGTGAGCCATCCCCTAGGGAAGAGGGAGGGGTGGCTGCTGGGAAGAGGGCCTTTTCTGCAGCTGCTCCCCATATCTGGAATGCTCTCCCCAAGAAGATCCACCTGGCACCTTCCTTGTAGTCTTTTTGAAGCCAGGCAAAGACCTTCCTTAATTAATTATATATATATATATATATATATATATATATATATATATATATATATATAAAACACTAATGCTACTCAAGCTTCTGTTTTGTGTTTTTATCCATATTTTATTAACATTGCATTTTAATATGTTGTAATTGGTTTTTATTGTGCTTTCTCTTAGGACTGGGAGCTGCCCGGAGGTGCTGTCACACAACTGGCCAGCATGCAGGCGTTGTAAAGAAATAAATAAGCCAGTTCTGGGTCGCAGCCCCGGCATCCCTGGCCTTTGGCCATGCTGGCTGGAGTTGCAAGAAGCCGAAGCCCCAAACGTCAAGAGGTCTAGCCACCTGGCCCTCACTGGTGCATCGTATGGGTTGCAGATGTACTCGGGTGCCTTACACACTCCTGAGTTCCTATGTCTTGGCTTGCACCAGCGATTTTCACATGAAAGACATGAACAAGTGAGCAAAAAGATGTCCATTTTAAGGTGATATTTGGGGGGCATCTGAAGCTGAAACTCAGTCCAGGACAAGCAGTCCAACAGGGCCCTCTGCCTGCTGGGGTGGATCCTGAGGGTGGCAAGCGGGTTTCAGGACAATCCAGTGAAGTTGCAGAAACAACACAAAGGCGGAAGGGGCCAGCAGAGGACCGAGGAGGCAGCTTGGGATGGGATGATCCTCTAAAGCAAGGACGCTCAGAAACACCAGCATTCCTGCTAGAATGAAAGGGACCCCAATTCCAGGAGGTCTCAGCTCCGGCTGGAGCTTCTGACTAGTGCTTATCTGAATTTCCCCCTGCGCAACTTCTCCATGGGCATGTTCCCCCTACAAAAGCATACGTCTCTGGGGCAAGTTTCCCCAAGGTGGGGACAGAAGTCAACACTTTTCAGTGACGTGTGGGGCAAAGGAGGCACCATTTCCATTTTATCCAGGTGGCCCAAAGTGGCTGCGGAGTCCCAGTCAGTGGCCCGTCAGGGTTATAATCAGTGCATTCCCCAGTGGGAAGAACGTTGCATTGTAACATTACAAGACAAAGCATTAAACCTCTTCTACCCCCTCGGTGAGGGTGTTCAAGGATAGGCTGGACATACACATGGTGGGCATGGCATAAGCGGAGCCGGCTGGAGCCGGAGGTCAGACTGGATGGCCTGGGAAGCCCCTTCTGACTCGCTCTGTTTCAATGTTTCTGTGTTAACCCCTGATCCTGAACATGGATCAGGTCTCCACATCTGAACAGGGATGTACAAAAATCTTACTGCGTTCACTAAGCATCTGCACTTGCCATATTGGCAACCCCAGTCGCAAACCGGAGCATCCCCTGCATCTCTTTCCAGACACTTCTGAAATGTTAACCATGTTTGGAAAATGCAAGCTTCGAAGAAATACACATTACTCTGAAACAGTGCGCGTTCAAATGCACATTTTATTAAGAAAAGATGGATGTTCATGCATTAGTCCATGGGGAGAAACCATGCACTTATGCACAAGAAATGCGCACGTTTCCTTTCAAATGCAGGTTGTAAAGAAATTGGAGTGAAATGAACTGAGTTTTGAAATGAAGTTTTGCAGCCTTTTGGTGCGCTTACAGCCTCTTTATGCAACTTGTTTGAAAAACCCAAAAGCAAAGGCAGTCTTACACTTGCCAAACAGATGAAGAGCATCTCCTCTGCTTCGGCCTTCAGAGTGCGATACATAAGGGAGCTGTGCTGTTGTATTAGATGCTTTGTGCAAGGAGCATAAGAAGCTTTGCCAGGAGCATGAGTTAAGGAACACTTTTGCTGAATTTCAGGATGCATGAGGAGCAAAGAAGCCGACGTGCTTTCTAGGGAGATCCTTGGAATTCAGGAGTTATGCTTAGGGAGCAGATGAAAAGGCCCTGGGGACCAACCAAGGCCATGAGTTGCTAAGTGCAGGAGTCGAAAATGGAAAGGCAAGAATTTCTGTTGTAAAACTGGCCATTTATTTTTAAACAGAGTGGAGTCAAAATCTTCCAGAAAATATTACCCTGAGGGAAAAACTATGGTGAGATGATGGAGGTGATAGCAATGGAAATGGAGATGACGGAGATACAGAAAGAGATACAGATTTTCAACTGCTGTCTGCTGGAAACCGCCTCCCCCCCAGAAAAAACCACTTTTCAGAGTTCTTTCAGAATTGTGGTCCTTTTTTTGTGGCGGAAGCCATTAGGCTCTGAGCCTTGCAGAGGATGCGAAATGGCGGCACGGGTCCCGATGGAGCTGCTGCCATTGAACCTGCCACTGATAATTTTGAATTACCTCCCACTCCAGCCCCAGGAAACTGTTGGATAATTTCTCATTCCTCGGGAAAAACGCTGCGATGAGCCCTGCAGTTTCTCCACTCACAAGCAAGCTGGAGAATTCCAAACGGTCCTCTAGGCGCAGTAACTCTGAGCAAACACTCAAAAGAGCAGTTGTCCAAAGGGGTGGACACAGGGACTGGTGTCCATCCTCTTCTCCATCACGTAGACCCAGGCGTCCAAACGGCCTGGTGACACCATGTGCTTTTCCAACCGGAAAACCTAATTCCCTTTCCCACAGCATGCTCCTGGCTCCCCTGCGAGGCGATTTTAGGGAGCGGGACACCTTGGGCCCTCTTGCCGGGGATGCCAGCAAAGCAACAGCGAAACCTCTCATGGCTGTCTTGGTGGGTAGTTTGAGAGTAGCCAGACGGTTGCGGAGGGGGAGGCCGCAGAGGACAATCTGGCCGTTGCCTGCCAGATGCGTAACAGGGGAATATCTTGTAAATCGCTCGTGGCAGGGGAGGGGGTGTTTGATCTCTGATGTTTTAGCAGAAGGCAGGTAACTGGAGAGAAGGCGAAGAGGAAGGAAGAATTAGAGCCAATTAAGGCTGTTATGCAAAACAGGGCCATAAAAATCTGGAGAGAATCACTTCAGACTATGCTGAAGAGCTGGGACGTTGAGGGCCCCTCCGTGTGAAAAAAACGAAACAAACCTGTGTAGCAAAGGCACACTTTGGGGTGGGTGGGGGGAGGCAGAGCCAAGCACAGAACAAATGTATTTATTGATTTATTAATTTGGTTTTTGTCCCCATTAGCCATAAGGCTTCCTGTTTAGCACAGCTCTTTCTCCAGTGCCTTTTTCTGCTAATTGTAGGTCAGGATAGTCAAGGATTTCGTTCACTCACATTACACTCCACATTAAAGCAAACCAAAGCAAACCGGATCCCCCTGTTCCCAGATGAATATGCAGATCTGAACTCTGTTATTATTTGATTCATGCTCTGCTCTAAATTTTGCAATGTGGATCCTGGCTCAAACATGTACTACAATGTATATCAAACCAAGTGATTTGGCTTTTAATGCACAGAAAATTGTATATTTTTAGGGTAACAGTTGGACAAAGCTACATAAAGCAACGGTGCGAAGGCCTGGACTCCTCCACCCCCGAAACTCTGCCCATGGGAGGGGAATTGGTTTTTCTCCCAGGAATTTTTGGAGAAACCAGAAAACATTTTTTCCTGAATTGTTCTGGTCCTGCCCCCAAACAGAGTCCAAATGTGTGTGTGTGTGTTTGCATGTGTGTGTGCACAGATGTTTAAATTGCAGATGGTACAAAATGAGACAGAACAGATGTGGAAATGACCAGAACATGGAGGAGAAAACGAATGTTCCCTAGACCCCTGTAGGTGAGGGCGTGTGCTCGCCATCCTAAGTGAGATGATGCTCAACCTGACCAGCTTAGCCTGGAGCTCTTCGGTCCAGTGGATACTCTGCACAACATCATGTCCTAAAGCACCTCAAGTTGCAGGTCTGAATGCTCCCTTTGGGGGAAAACCTCCTTGAACAGTGCAAAGCGAATGCCAGAGAAAAGCCTGGAGTCAGACCCCCCCCCCCGTCTTCCTGGCTTTCTGCTTGCAGAGGAGTTTGCACCCTGGGGTGAGATTTAAATGTGCAAACACTGCCCTTGGCACGCTTGTAGTAGTGAACGTTGGTTTGAACCATCCTGCTCCGTGTTACTTAGCAATGGGCAAACGTACGTGACTGAACTATTTGCTCAAAAATAACAGATCTTTCCATATGAGCTCCAGTAAGAATATTTCTTTAATAGGAAATCTTGTTCTGTGCATAGGAGTGTTTGCACATGTGCTGTTACTACTACTACTACATATATATATATATATATATATATGTATGTATGTATGTATGTATACACACACACACACACACTAATATATATGTTAATGTATATATACTGCCAGTGGCTGGAGCTTCCAAGAATAATCATAGAATCAAACTGTCAAGTCCCCCATCCTGATTCTAACCAGGCCTGACCCTTCTTAGCTCCCAAGATGAGGCAGGATCAGGCACTTCAGGCTGTGTAGAATGTAAAGAGGCAAGCAATTCTGAACTTGATCGTGAATTTGCAATGCAACCGTGGAGGCTGGCTAAAAAGGTGGGCATTCTGGGCAGTTGAGCTTCAACCAATGGAGCAATTCATCATGGAATTTTGGGGTTTGCTAAGGCTAACCGGCAGATGGAAATGTGACTATTGATGGGCTTTTTCTCTGGACACTGGACCCAAGATGGGAAATGACCACCCTATCTCTTCCTCATCCGCGGGAAGGGCTTTCCTTGTTTTTATGGAGTTGTTTGTATGCACGTTACATTCATCTATTACGTTCGTATGTTTTCAACTGTTTTGCAAGATAAGTGAATAGAAAGAAAGGAAGGGTTCTCTCTAAAAGAGGATGGAGGTTGTGCTTTGCATCAGAAGATCCAGGGTGCAGTCTATGGTGTCTCCAGGTGGGGCTGGACAAACTCCTGCCTGACCCCCTTGAGTAGGGATGTGCTAGGAGCCTGTGCTGGGAGGAGGAGCGCCATGGGCTCAGCTTCCTGGACTCCGACCCACTTTCACACAACTGTGAGTCCAAATGCCTGGCAGGCACACCCCGCGGTCCCCCCCTTCCACACCATGTGCCACCTTCTCTGTTTGCGCACATGATGCAGAAGAAGGCGCCTGGTCATGCCACTGGGGTCCCAAGACAGGGCTGAGCACAAGGGGAAGTCCACAGTTGCTAGAGAGATGCTTTGACGCATTGCTGCCATGGAGAACGCAGACAGTTCCAGGCTAGGTGGACGGAGGGTCTGACTCCCTATGAGGCAACTTCTGATGTTCCCATTTGCATTTACCAAAGAAATGTTCAGCCCAATGAGATGTGGGATGTTTCTAAGCCCATGGATTCCATGAGTTAGGTGCACCTCACCCTGAGTAGGTTTGGGATGCTGATGACTCATTCAGACCAGGAAGTCATCACCCAGGGGACACCTCACGTTCCCGTTGAGTTGGATGCATTGCTTCAAGCCCAAGGGTACCTTAAGCTTGCTGGTAAGAGGAGGGGAAGGCGGAACCAGGGGCTGGAATGTCTACAGGGATGAACAAGAAGCCAACCACGCTTACCATCACACTGTACTGCGAGACAGAGATGTTGTTGGGGTGCACGGTCAGTCGGACACACTGCTTCATTTCAGCAGCAAACCTCCTGGGCTCGCTGGACCGCTCGCATTGTTCTTTCCTTGTGCACCTGGGAGAAAGGGAGGGGAAACAGAAACAATTGGATGCCAGAAGTAATCAATGAGGTACCAACAAGCCTGGAGGGCCACTCTCCCTGTTAGATCTAAGATACAGAAAGAAGGTACAATTAGTCAGGAATTGCTTAGACTGTCCTACCTCAGACTGGCAGCCTCCAGCTGGGTTGGACCACAGCTCACACCATCCCCTGCCTGTGTGGCCTTAGTGGCTGGAGATGGTGGGAATTGTGCTTCAGCGAGTCTGGAAGGCCTTGGGTGGGGAAGGCTTGTTTAACATTTTATAGGAGGGAAGGAGCTGTGCTTTATATGAAGAAAAACCAAGCAGTAGCCAAGAAGGTCAATGAAAACGTGCAAAATGTAGGCTGTAAGTATGTCATGAGCTCATCTCTCCCTCTTTCCATTGCAAATCAAGGCAATAGGCTTCTCAGCTACAGCCTTTTATTGAGCTAGGTTGCCCAGTCAGGCTGGCTTTGCAGTAAAGAGTAAATGATAATCAAACTGTTAACAAGTAGCATCTATCAAAGCAGTGATTGCTCTTTCCCATGGCAGGAACTGATTCCAAATGGAAACCTCCTCCTCCTTCTCCTCCAAAAGGGGTTGGCTCGATCCTCAGGGAGGTTCGCACTGCTTGACATCAGGAACCCTGGACATTACTTAATTGGCCCACTCAGTTGGCTTCACAGCGATCCACTGGGTTGATGAAACTACTCTCCATTTCTCTTTCTAGCTCACCTTCAGGGTCTAAACTGTCAAGCTTGAAATGCTGTATTTGGAGAGAAGCAGGCCTACAACCTGGAGCCTGAGAAATCCTGCTTTCACACCAGAAAAGTTTAGCCATGAAAATCCCGTGTTCACACCAGGGACGGAAACAGGCTCATAGAGAACGTGGTAGAACTAATAGGATTTACAAGCCTGAGCCAAGCACCTAGGTGAACAGCACATGGCCGACATTCAACCTGCTCCCCCCACCCCGCACCACTTAAATTGAAAAGGTTCAGGGACACAAGCACATGTAATTAATATTAAACGAATCAAGAACGCAGGAATTGCCCTGCTGGATCAGTCTACGGTCCATCTAGTCTGTTCACAAAGTGTCCGTGGGAAACCCACAAATTGGGCATGAGTGCCACAGAACCTTCCTGCCCATGTTCCCCAGAAAACAGTTTCATAGGCGCACCGCCTTTGATACTAAATGGCCCAATGGCCAAGAGAACTAGTGACCATTGATAGCCATTGATATCATCCAGAAATTTTCCCAGTCCCCTTTTAAAGCCATCCAAAAGACCTTTTGCTACATCTCTGGAACTGAATCCCATAATTCACTTAGGCGCCATGTGAAGAAGTGCATCCGATCTCCCATCAGTCAGTTCCATGGGAAGACCCCACTGAGGTCTAGCATTACCAGAGGCAGAACAAAGTATTTTGTATTCCTCTTAGAGTTCCACAGGTTTGAACTACTAGGCGGAATACAGGATTAAAGTGTATCATTTTCTATTTCAAGTCTGATAAAATCAGGGAGGCACCTTGGCCTAGCTGGAGAAACGCCAGAGCAAGAGGCATGACAAAATCATGTACTGAAACCTGATTGGAGGCACACCTATGTGATTTTCATTCCAGCTACTGCTTTAAAGGTAAAGGTAAAATCCAGTCATGCCTGACTCTTGGGGGCGGTGCTCATCCCAGCTTCCTGGCCGAGGGAGCCAGGGTTTGTCCGCAGACAGTCTCCGTGGTCGTGTGGCCGGCATGACTGAACACCGAGGCGCACGGAACGCTGTTACCTGCCCACCAAAGTGACACCTTTTCATCTACCTGCATTTGCATGCTTTCGAACTGCAAGGTCGGCAGGAGCTGGGACGGAGCAACGGGAACTCACCCCGTTGTGCAGACTCGAACCGGCGACCTTTCGATCAACCGGCCCAGCAGCACAGTGGTTTAACCCACTGCGCCACCTGCATCCCGTAGCTACTGCTTTACATCCCTGCTTGATAGGAGCTGAGCAGGGCTGCCAGAGACAAGAAATGTTGGAGGGCAAGAATTCATTTTTGTTGCTATGTGCCATCAAGTCGTTGCTGACTTATGGCGACCCTACGAATGAGAGCCCACCATAACGGCCGATCCGAGACAGCTCTTCCCAATTCAAGGCCGGGGCTTCCTTGATGGAGGCCATCCATCTCTTCTCTGGCCTGCAACTTTCCAAAACATGATCATCTTCTCCGGGGATTTTGGCCTGCTCAGGATACGCTCAAAGTATGACAGCTCCCATTTTGTCATTTTTGCTTGCGGGGAAAGTTCTGACATGATTTGATCTAGGACCCACTTGTTGGACTTTCTGCTGGACTGGGGCATTCGCAAAACCCTGCTCCTGCTCCGTGCTTCCTGTGCATCCATTGTCTTGTGTCAGCTTCCAAATGTCTTGGCGACAGTCTACGCTTGGATTGATGACTGAGCCTGGGAACGCAAAGCTTTCCGCCATTTCAGTTTCTTCATTGAACTGCAAAGTCCTGCCGTCATGACTTTTGCTGCCTGAATGTTCAGCTGCAGTCCTGCTTTTGGCCTTTCTTCTTTCATTTCCGCCAGGAGCCATTTTGATTCATTGCAGGGCACTGTCTACGTGTCTTAAATTAGTCCTCAGCTCACCAAAAATGACATGCATCGCAACCACATGGAATCCCATGGGTTCCTGAGGAGCGTGTGCTGAAGAAAATGACCAGAGTCAACCCTGCCCATGGGAGCAGAGACCTAGGTGTTTAATTCATCCCGTTAGGCAAGCAATGCAGCCAGACTCTATGCAGGCTGGCCTACTATCAGGGGAGAGATTGATTTCCTAGAGATAAACTTAGAAAGAAGGTGAATATGTTGGGAGAGAGGTCAAGCAAGGGAACACCTGAGCTCAATAAGCTTAGAAAGGGCAGACAGAGGTGAGCTGAAGGAATTCTCACCCTTGCTGCCACGGGGGTCTCAGTTGGTGTGGGTGAGGTAAGCCCATGTGATTCTTTGCAATCCCCTTCTGCAAAATCGAAGCCCCATGACTTGTGCACGGTCAAATAGCTTCCTATTTCTAGCAAGATCTCTGGGTTTGGCAGACCTCACAAGGAAGGAGTATCCCAAGCTGGGAAGCAACCACGACATGTCCCTCTTGGTGCGCCCTTCTCCACTGTACCTGATATAAATCAAGATATGGCGCTTAGGAAATGGCTGATAGTTCCCGGGGAAGGAAGCAATTATGGCTTTTATCTCATAACCCGCATGCCTAGTGGGGCACAGGGTTAATATAAAAGGACCACTCCAACAGTTAGCTAATTATCATCCATTAAGCTAATGTAACAAACCTTCAAAGAGTGGTTTCAGTGGATTCTTCTGATATTAGCAGCGATATTCACCCCATTAAAATCCACTCTGAAGCTTAACTATGAGAGTTAAATGATTCACCCTTTCCCAAACTTTGATGTCTCTCTTGCCAAGTTATGCATATCTAGCTGGAATCTTTGGAGGAATTTCAAAAGAAAGCCAGGTATACACATGGCATAAATAATCCAAAAGTGAGCACTTTGGGGCGGGGGGGGGGGGAAGCAAAGTAGGCATGGCCTGATCCAGCTGATTGGCTGAGCTCCCAAGCTTGATTTACGGACATGCAGAATGAGCCACTTCAGACTGCACAAGCAACTCAAGAGTTCACAGCCCCACCACAAACTATGGGTTTTTCCCCTGGGTTGTTTGTGGCTAGCTCCCCATAGTTAAACCATAGTGCAGGGTTTGCATGTAATGACAACCCATGGGCCAGCATGAGCCAACGATAATGCAATGCGGTGTAGGGCTAGAGTGCGATATTTGGGTTCTCATTTCCTCTCTGTCATGAAGCCTGCTGGGTGACTTTGGGCCAGTCATTGGCTCTCAACCTAGCCTTCCTTGCAGGGTTGTTGTTGTGAGGGGACCTAGTAGTGTCATATAGGTACTTGAGGGGGTGCCATGCAGAGATGGGTCATGACCGTTTTTTCCCCTGCAGAGGAAGGCAGGAGGCGTTCCAATGGAGCAAAGATCAGGGAACCAAGATTTGGGAAGGATGTCAGGAAGCACTACCTGACGGTTAGGACCCCGAGGGTGTGGAACGGGCTTCCCCGGGAGGCAGTTGAGGCCCCATCGGTGCGGGTGTTCAAGGACGGGCTGGACGTGCACATGGTGGGCATGTCATGAGCAGAGCCAGCTAGAGCCGGGGGTCAGACTAGATGGCCCGGGAACCCCCTTCTGACTCGCTCTGTTTCTATGTTTCTAAATGGGGAGGACAACCTTTTAAGCAGCTTGGGTTCGCTGTGAATTGCAGCGTCATGGGGTCCGCCTTCTTGGGGTCCCACACACTACACGAGCAGCACCGCTTTCCCCTGCACGCCAGCAGGGGTCCGTGGGGAAGAAGGCTCCTCGCCAGGACGGGTGCCTGGCACACCCACGCTCAGTGCTCCCGTTCTGCATCCTGCGGCCGCCCTGGATGGGGAAGGTCGCTGGTTGCACGACTGGGGACCGCTAGTGCCCGGGGACGCCCTCTGGGTTCAGGCTGAGCATGAGAAGAAGACCATGGGATGGATTCCAGAAGGGCTGGTCCCCACCCTGACGTGTGTGCAGGGTGCCCGCATCGATCCAAGACGGGTGGATCAAGTCCTGCTTGTTTTGACACACCTGCTCGTTCATGTGTGTGCCTTGAGGTAACAGGGACTGCCTTTGGTATCTCCAAGCACTGGGATTTGGACTCCAGTTCCCATCACTGCAGCCAGCAAGGTCAGTGGTAAGAGACACCTGCTGCAATCGTCAACAGGTCCAGAAAGCGCCAGGTTAGGAAAAGCTAGTTTAGCCCGAAGCGTGGACTGTGGATAGGGAGCCCAGCTTACCAGTCCTGCTCAGACGGCACAGAAAGAATGCCCCGATGCTCCCCAGAACCGGTAGTGGTCCAGATAAGGAGCTGAACACGACAGTCGTCACTGTTGCCATAGCAACCATGCAGCCG